ATATATACGTATATATATATATATGTATATATATATGTATATATATATATGTATATATATATGTATATATATATATATATATATATATATATATATACATATATATGCACATATATACATACATATGCACTAGATAGAAATATATATATCTATATGGTTTTTTTCCTGCTATAAAATAGTTATACGTCACTAAAAAAATAGCTTGTTTTCTTTTTTTTTCTTTCCTGAGATGGTAAGGTTTCTGTAATCACTGTTTTTGTCTTTGAAGCCTTTCAAAATAACAGACTCCATTGAAGCCCTGACAAAGAGAGGAGCATCCTCCTCCTCCTCTTCTGACCCAACTATTTTCTAAGCCAATCAATAAACAGCCTTTGGGCCGTCTGCCTTTGACGGACCATTGTCTTATCCTGCTGCTGCCAAATCTTTATGTGAATAGTGCATTTATTTTTGCAATTACGTCTGCACCGTAGGCTGTCTATTGCTGCTGATGCATGCTTTTAAAAACATCCTCGCCATTATTATAAAGATGTCTTTGTCCAGTGGAGGTCAAGTGAATAAGGTCAACCCAGAGCATGACCAGGGGTTTGGAAAAAAACGTGAGCATTACAGATATGTTAGAAAGGATTTCAAGCTTTTTTACCATACATGTTGCGCAGTTAATTGTTTTGTCAGTTTTTATTTGATCGTCTGATATCGCTCAAGCAACTAATCTAGAGACAGATCCATAACAAACAGCTGTACCTTCTTGGCTTTCATTTGTTGTTACATCCACAAAACGCGAAAACTTGTTGTCTTCTTAAATGCGTTTACCCAGTTAGGTGGTTAGTTATCGACTGTTAAACTAGTTGACTTACTTACTACCGTCATTATTATTAGCGGTGTTTTTGCATTTTGAGAATTTGTATACATTGACTGACATTTCTGGGTGCAGTACCAATGCTGGTCAACAGGGTCAACCAGCTGTAAATTGCTGAACAGTTGAAAATAACCATCAGTTTGGAAATTCCAATTTCTGCTAAAATGTTTTTTTTTTAATATCCTTTTTTATAGTCCTTCAGTTCATTTATTCAATATTGCTTTAATTTTATTTCACAGGACATTTGCTTTTAAATGACTGTATTCATTGGTGTGCTGAGCTGAATGCCATATAATTGCTAATAATTGAGCAAAGAAATAAGACAGAAAGAGACACATGCAATGTATGGAAGACAAACGTGCAAATTTTTTTGTTGCAAAGTTGTCCTGTAGCTCGTAGTTGACGAAGTTGTTTGAACGTCACTGCAGATATTTAGCGTTCTCATTCCATTGTCCAGATTCGGGTCTAACAGTTCAATCCACAATCTTTAAACATATAAAATTCAGGATTTCTTCACAAAATGACTAATACAATCTAATAAAATGATTAATTTTCCAGTTAGCACTGGATGTTCGATACTCTCTGCGTTGACAAGAATTCCATTTTACTTGTAGGATGCTACTACCTATAGGTGGCAATGTAGCTTAGGAAAAAGCGTGTTAACAGGGTAATTGAGACTAGCATTAATGAAGTCTGGTTGTTGAACTAATATCAGTGTAAACTTCTTGTTTAGACCCAACCCGGCACCAGAGCTTAGTAGAGCCAGCATTTTGGTGGTCTACTATCTCTTCCTCCTTATCTATTTCTTCTTAGTCCTGTTTGTTACTTTATATATGCTTTGTTTATATTATCACTAGATATATGAGCAAGTTCAAATCCCGGTTAGGGTGGTTGGTGCCTTCCATTGGACTCACCACCCACAGGAAGGTTCAGGGGGGTTGGTACGGTGCAGTGTGATTTGGGTGGCGGTCATGGAGACTGCTGCCTCCGTGACCCGGTAACGGATAAGTAGATGAAAATGGATGGATGGATGGATGGATATGTATATTCCTTGTTTTTTGCAGAATAGTTTCAACTAACACCATTGAATTGCCTAGCGCTGCTCGAAAGTCAGGGAAGGGAATTAAAAATAATTATTGTGTGAGTTGATTGTATGATCGTTTTTCAATTGTTCTCACTTTCAGATAGCACTGAGCCCAAGCCGTAATGTCTGTAATTTGTTTCGGCGCAGCATATTTAACTGGGAAAATCAACCTCATTATATCTCATTAGGATAATTCATCCGAGGAGCGTAATAATAAGAAGTGACAGAGATGTGTCGTTGTGTGCCAGTCATACTCAGATGGAAGTGTTCACCCGAACATTTGATTGCTCATTACATCTTCCAGTGGTATTCCTGTGACCTTGTCTATGGATGAGACTGGCCTACTTAACTTGTAACTTTGGAAACATAGAGTGGGAAGCAGCCAAGGGCAGTTATTTTTGGACACATTTACCCACTTTGGTCCAAAGTGGGCGAATGCTGTCCCTGGTAATACTGCATCTCAGCTGCATGAGTACATCGCTATGATCAGGGCAACGTAGATGATGCTGCCACAGAGACTGACCAGAAAAATCACAAGTCCTAATATATATACAGTACACTTAATTACATTATACAATAATACCTTGAGATGCGAGCGTCCCGACATACGCGTATTCCGAGATAAGAGCAAGCCTTCGAGCAATTTTTTTGCTTTAAGATACAAGTAAAGATTTGAGATACGGGCATGTTTACAGACGGCGATGCTGCTCCGTGGTCTCGGAGCGGCCCACACCGCCTCACTCGTTCACTTCACGCGTTCGTCGACTTACATACGCATCTTCCGCTAGTCCTCCATATTGTGTCACAGAAATCCTTTTATACTGTAATTCTGTTTTGTGTGTGTCCCTATAGCAATTAAAAACATGTTTTTTACAATGTTATTAGCACTAGTAAGGGGATTTTTTTTTTTTTGAGAAACAATATGGGAAACGATTTGAAATACGTGCACCTCCAGTTATGAGCTCGGTCCGGATTATGCTCGTATCTCAAGGTATTACTGTACTACCCTGTACTGTATAGTACTCTATAACAGTGGTTCTCCAACATTTTCTACTCTGTACCACCTGAGAAAACATTGAGCTCTCTGAGTACCACCATGATGACCAACATTAGAATATTAGCATTAGAACGTTAGCATTTGCGTTAGTGCTCAGTTCTGATTCATTTTCAACATGGCTGCTCGCATTACCACTCATTTTGAAGTGAGCCTACATACTACATTTATTTACCCCCTTACATTTACGTTATATTTCCCCTGCTTGTTCCACGTTCACCTTGCAAGTGATCTCATGACTCCGTGCTGCTTGTGCTTACGTGAGCAACAGAAAATAAAAACCAGACATCCTATTTCATCTCACAAGAAGCTACACATATTTTCTAAATGTTGTATTAATTGTGCATGGTATGTTTCAGATTTATTCAATTGAAAATGTAAAGGTGAAAATATGAATTTTCCCTGCCCCATAGGTTTAGCTTAGCGTACCACTAGTGCGCTCTCTAGTGGTACGCTAAGCTAAACCTATGGTTCTCAACTGGTAGGTCATGATACAAAAGTGGTTCATGGACTAGTTTTCAGTGGGTCGCATACCACTGCTGAGGCCATATATATCGGCGGGGTCTGTTCACATCATAGAAGAAGACATGCAAACTCATATGCTAATTGAGCACGGTGAAACGCCTTAGGCTATATGAAATATGGATTATTTCAAATTGAGGTGAAACACCTCAGTGTGTGTTCTGCAACGAGGTGTAGAGGAACATTTTCTCAAAGAGTAGCCGCTAGTTTGTCAAAAGACGGCCTCAAGACATCACAGAAGTGTCTTACTTCATCATGCAAAACGTTGATAGTTGCGGCTTGTCATTGTGTGGGTAATGGGTCGCCAAGCTAGACCGGTACAGACCCACATTGATATGCTATGCTGTGCTGGGCTGCGTTATGCTATATTTTGCTTTAATATGCTATAATTTGCTATAATTTACTGTTCTATGCTATACTATACTATGTTACTGTAAGCGATGTTACTGTAAGCGATTATATGCTATTCTTTATTATACCACATAGCATAGCATTAGCATTATGCTATGCTATATTATGCTTATACTATATGTTATACTATTAATACTCTTAATACTGTACCTATAGTAAGTATACTATAACATAACATAACTATAAAAAAAATATATAAATATAATATAACTTTAACTCTGTAAGTACTGTGCATATTGTACTGTTTATTTGATTGGATTAGGAATAGTGGTAAAACTCCTCTACTGAACTTTTATTGGTTTAGGGCAGCGGTGTCAAACTCGTTTTAAGCGGGGGGGCCACATTAGCAATACAGTTCCATTAGAAGGGCCGGTTGTAAATGGAAGACTGTATAGATTAGGGGTCCCCAACCCCTGGTCCGCGGACCAGTACCAGTCTGTAGGTCATTTGATACCGGGCCACAGTGGAACACATAAAATAAAAGTCATTCAGACTGATTAACTGATCAAACAGAATAGAGTCTAAAATATGTTTTATTTTGAAAATGTAATGATCCTTTAATGCGCAGTACCTTAGTACAGGTCTGTACTAATGAGTGGTACTGGCTGACCAATCCTTGGAACAAAAAAGGTTAGGGACCGCTGGTATAGATGTAGCTCCTCCATAACAGACTAATACATGTTTCTGCAATTGATTATTATGATTATTATTTGATTATTTATAAAAACTTAATTTCTCAGGTAAAGAAACTCTGCTGCATGGACTTTACTAAATGTTTTTTAAGCTCCCGCGGGCCACACAGAATGACTTGGCGGGGCGGAATTGGCCCCCGGGCCTTGAGTTTGACACGCATGGTTTAGGGAATCTGTATTAGAGGTTACTAATAGGAATACTTGACTGATGTGCATGTGTACTTTGTAGTGGCCTCAGTGTTTTTTTTTATAAACTTTGATTGTAACAAAAGTACATTTTCTTTTAAAGTGCTCAAACTAAAGTTTTTGCTTCTTCCCATGTGCATTTTCAGATCTGTCAAAGAATCGTCTGTGTGAGCTGCCGGAGGAGCTCTGTCAGTTCATCTCTCTGGAAACTCTGAGCCTTTACCACAATGGCATGCGGTCACTGTCCTCCAACCTGGCAAACCTCCAGGCGCTGACCTACCTCAACCTCAGGTAACCCTGCAGCTTTTTGTTCTTAAACCCTGGTGGGTTATTACAGTTTAGCTCTGACTTCTATGATGGTCAGTAAAATAATATAATTTTACATAACGGTTTTTAGATAGAGATAGTGCACACTTTATTAACTACACTTTTGTAGTAAAAAATACTGTACTTTTTACTGTAATTTTTTAAAAAGTACATGATTGTATGATGTGCAACTTTATTTTTTATTTCATTTAGTACACATATTTTTTATGTCTAAGTAATTGAATTTGAAAGTAATTTCTACTCGTAGCTTCAACTCGCTGACTTTGTTGTGGACTTTGTTGTGGACTTTGTTGTCTAAGGGTCAAAGGTCAGTCAGTTGTCGTCAACATAGAAAGACAATGACCGCACACTGATATGGAGCAGTGAATGCAGTGCTTTCTCTATTAATGCAATTTGGCCTCTTTGTTCTCTGTTTATCTCTATGTCACTCTATCGACTGCATCACTTAAAACGGTAAAATATTTGTTAAATCAAAGGCTAACATCACATGTTAATAGTTAAACGTTATCTGCTTTAGGGAAAAAAGAAAATAGAATGTGAGCTTAACCAACCAATAAGGAATGTCTGCCCTGCAAGCTCCATTCCAGTGATTATTTTGAGAACAGAACAGAAATGTCCTGTTCTGTTAAGTGGTTTCCAGCACTTGCTGTATAATTGTTCACTGATTCTGGTAATAATTTGTTGCGAAAATGTGTGTCTGTTTACATTGTAT